AAAAAAAAAAAAAGGGTCACCAATTATGTTCCATTTGCCCAAGCAATGCACTTAAAACGCTGTATTGCTGAACATCTGAATGCCTGTGCCTCTTAAAAAGCACACATAATAAAGTCTATCACCCTTGATATGCCACCCCAAAATGCATCAATTTGGCATCAGTTTATCTTGACCTGAAGGCAACTGAGAATCAGCAGATGCAGGAAAAGTTCTCTGTTTCCCCTTATCAGCCTAAACACAAGTCATAAATTTCTCTTTGCAAAAGTGCCTTTCTGTGCCAGGAAGAAGAGATGGGATCCCCAGAGACTGGAAGTCACACCAAAATGAGTCTATATGAACAGACCTTATAAAATTAATCCTTATCTTCCATTAGCTTCCTTCATATATTTCCTAGTCTCTTCCCCACAATTCACCATCTCTAGAAGCCCAAATTCCCTTTTCTTTGTCTAGTCACTTCTCCACAAAAGCCCCTTATTAAAAGAGTACATAACCCCCTGAGTCTAACTGCTTCTTTGAGTTTTCACTTTTCTGTGACACTCCCAATGCTCATCAAAACATTAACATCAATAAAAATGATATGCCTTTTCTCCTGTTATTCTGTCTTTTGTCAGTTTAATTTGTGGGCCCTTAGCTACTAAATTTAAAAGGGTAAGCAGGGGTGTCCAACCTGCGGTCCTCAGGCTGTATGAAGGCCATCCATTATTTGAAGACTGTCTAGCTTACCTGTGGTATCAGATATCATAAAAAGCTATGCAGAGAACTTTTATTTTACTCTTCACCGTTCATTAGTGTTTGTGTATTTAATGTATGGCCCAAGACAACTCTTATTTTTCCAATGTGCAGCAGAAAAGAAAAAAGGCCGGACACCCCTGTGATAGAGGAAAAGTCTATTCCTCCCTAACACCCTTTCTAGTGCTACACAATGAATGTGGCTAGTCAGAATTGAGAAGTGCCATAAATATAAAAATGCACATCAAATTTCAAAGACTTGAGACCAAAGGAAGAATACAAAAGAAAAATCTCATTAATAATACTTCATATGGTGCCTAAGGCTCAAGTGGCTAAGGCACCTGCCACATACACCTGAGCTGGCAGGTTCGAATCCAGCCCGGGCCCGCCAAACAACAATGATGGATACAACCAAAAAATAGCCAGGCATTGTGGCAGGCACCTGTAGTCCCAGCTACTTGGGAGGCGGAGGCAGGAGACTCGCTTGAGCCCAGGAGTTGGAGGTTGCTATGAGCTGTGATGCCACAGCACTCTAACCAGGGGGATAGTTTGAGGCTCTGTTTCAAAAAATAATAATAATAATACTTCATACTGATTACATATTAAAATGATAATATCTTGGATATATTAGATGAAATAAAATACAGTATTAAATAAATTTCACCTGTTTATTGCTATTACTAGAACATTTAAAATTATACTTCATCACAGATATAGTTCATATTATATTTCCATTACACAGCACTAGTCTAGAAACTAGTAACCCAAATTACTTAGTTTGGTTCCCTATAACTTCCATAATATGAGTACAAGACACTTTTTTTAGGTTTTTCCACTCATTACTTATAAACAAAAATCATTCTCTGCTTCATCAGTTCTTGATCTAGTTTCTAATTAAAATAAGCTGAAAAGCTTATAAATGATTTTAACACCCAGCCCCATTCAGATTAAATCAGAACTTCTGCGGGTAGAGTCTGGGTAATCTAATAATTTGTTTTGTTTCTTTTCTTTTCTTTATAACGCTCTCCAGGTGATTCTAAGACGCAGCCAGATTTAAAACAACTGTTGTACATGCCTCTATATCCCATTCATTTGGAGAAGGAAGATACAAACAAAAAAGCTTTGGATTCCTAGACACTTACTAACTGAACTACCATGGGAAAAGCCATTTTTCTCCCACTCCATCTCAGTTTTCTAAATCTAAAATGAGGACAATACCTGCCCAACATACTCAAAGGCATGCCATGAATATAAAATGAGAACACACATTGAAGTCATCAATAAAGTATAAAGCACTGCACAAATACAAGTTATTACTACCATTAATTTTTGTCTCAACTCTCCTTTTCAACTTCTATCCTCTTTTGGGTAACAAGTTCTAACTCCTCTTAAAGTTGTTCCTGTTGTAACAGCCAATTGACTTCCTTTCTTCACTAGAATTTTCTAACAACTCCATATCTCAGGTAGTTTACATCCAGATACTGAATTACAAATACAAAGAATAAATATGCATATAATAAAGACCTCTAACTAGATTCTGAGCATATTAAGTGCACAGCTTATTACTGTGACTCATACCTCTATTAAGTCTATTTTCGCATTCATTCATTCAAGTACCTGTATCTAGAAGGTACTGAAAAAACAGGTGATATCAGTGTAAGGCATGTACATACCGGGGAAATGACAAAGAGTTCACTCCCCATGAGATCAAACACCCTCACAGTTCCTGTGCTTTCTGCATAGGCCAGCAAGGTACAATCATAACTCCATGCTACCCGTCTCCACTGGGGTTTTGGATCTTTTGGAACTAGAATGAAAAGAAAAGAAGTGCTTTTAACAACGTATTATTTAAAAAGTTAACACTTTTAATAACTGCAACAAAAGTAAGTATTCAATTGTATTACATCATCTCCTAAGGGTCTCTATGCTTCTCAGTAGAAAAGAACAGTTCTCTGAAACCCTCTTCAAGTAAGAGTGGGAAATATAAACCATTGCAAACCATGCCCTATTTATTTTAAAAGCAAAGTCTACTGACGCTCATGGTCTGACAAATGTCAAGCTGGTCTGGTAAAGACTCAGGAATGATACATCCCAAACTACTTAGGTAATTGAGAGAGATCAAAAGCATACAGAATAGGCAGAAAATAACTCCAATTAAATAAGTTTATCCCTCCTAAAAGCAAAAAAAGGAAAATTGCAATTGAAATCTTTTAAAAATATTAAATACAAATGCCAAGAGTATATGAAGTGGGACCATGCTGACACAGCAGTAAACAGGAACAAGAGGAAAATATATATAAATACTTACATATATGCACTTATTGGGCAGGTAAGTCAAGTACTGCTGTTAGTCAATCACACAATTAAAAGCTTTTAATAATCAACACCTGAACAATCCTAATAATCCAACACCTGGATTTATCTCTGTTCTAAATTTTTCAATACAACAATGGAAAGAAAGGCTATCAACTGCAAAAGAAGAAAAAGAGGATGTGAAACTCTAAACCTTGTCAATTTTGTTTAAGGTTTTTATTGTTTTATTTACTTCAGTTTTCCTCTGTTAGATGCCAGAACTGAAGGGATAAGCAGGAGGACCAGCGCCCTTCCTTTGCCAACAAAAATTGGAAATGATTAAGGGGCTCAACGTGACAGCAGGAGCAGAATAGAAGCCAGAACCTCAGCATCCTGCCTTCCCATACAAGGCAGATTTCATTACAACACATTGCCTCTCAGAGCCTTAGGACAGCCTCAAAAATGTTTCAGAAACTGATGGCTTTTGCTCCACACTCCGCTACTACAATCCCAGCTCAGGTTTCACCATATCTTGCTTAGCCTCCTAACTGGTCTTCCCATCTTCGTCTCTTCCTTTCTATTCCTTCCTCCATACTATCTCAATATACCTTCCTAAAACAGAAAGAACAGAACACATCCTTCTGCTGCTTTAAAGACCCTGACAATTCTCCATTTCCAGCAGAATCAAGTCCAAACTCGTAAATATACATGAAAGGCCCTTCATAAAAAGGCCCATCACAGCTTTCCAGTTCTGCCTCCCACCACGTGCTCTGTCACATGCCTAACGATGCGCCCACACCACAACCACCTGGCAAACGAGCAGATCTGCTGTTCCTACACCCTGCTGCTCTAAGCATTGTTTACTCCAGTCTTACTCCAGTTCATCCTTCCAGGCCTCATGTAATTGTCACCTCCTCCTCGCAAGACAATCTTCAAAACTAACTGTTTTCTGTGTGCCCCCAAATATGCTGTCCATACATCTTTCATAGCATTTATCACATCACGTTATGCTGTTTACATAGCTATTTGTCCCACAAGTCTCTGAGCTCCTTGAAATCAGAGACATTATCTTGTTCAGCATCAGCATCTGAGGACCTGGAACACAAAGTGATTAATGTTTCACTAATGCGTGAAGCCTAAGTCTCTCAAGAAAATCTGTATTAACAGGGCAAGGTAATGATAAGGGTTTAGCATCCCTCAAGGACTACCAAATAATTAAATGTGAATTATGTAACTGAACTTATCTCTCGACCTAGTAACTGTGCAGAATTCAGGTTTCCTTCTTTTTCTGAAATACACATTCTGGGGGATATAGGGCGAGTACACCAGCCATGAATAAGTTTCTTCACGTCAATCATTTATCTATTTAGTTTTGAGTAAGAAATAAGTTCTCTGTCTTTAGACAGACCCCACAACCTCAAACTTACGCATAGGTACAAAATGATAACACAGGAGTATACAACAGGCATACAAACAGATGCTACATAAAAACCAGCAAGAGAACAATTTTGCCCTGAAAAATATTCATGGGCTAAGAAACACTGCAAACATTTTTCCATTTTTATTATCTGCCATAACAGATTTTTTCTCTTACTTCATTTTGAAAGGATAAATAGATCTATGAACTACATTCCATCTGAAGGGGATTTGTTTTTACTAATACTTCTAGCTATGAGCAGTAACTCCAGAAAACTCTGCATGTGTTTTGACCCAGATAAAGATATGTTTCCATTACAAGACAAGATTTCACATAACAATGTGAAAATAAAGACTTTATCACTGGATTTTTCCAGCTGCTTATGTGGTTTTGGAAAGGAATGAACAGTACAGATTTTTACAAACCAAGTGTCAAAGGAGTTGTCTGAAAAATAGGCAAAAACATGGATGGTAAAAGTTACCTAGCAACTTGACAACTGACACATCCACAGTGAAGGTGCTTATGCCTTCCACATTTCCATCAGCTGCAACCCCTGAAGCCTAAACAGTAGCCAAGCTCTTCCCCCCTCAGAGCTTCTGTATTCGCTGTATTCTCTGTCTCGAACACTCTCTCGCTGAGCCAGGGGTGGAGAACCTGCAGCCTTAAGACTGCACGTGGCCTTCTGAATCCTTAAATGTGGCCTTTTGATGGAATATAAATTACACAAAAACTTTTATGAAAAGGGGTGCAGCAGAGAAAAATGAAGCTTTTCTTGCCTCCTATGGTGCTTAAAAAAAGAACAACCTTAAAATCAGAAGGCCTCAGGCTCCCCACCCCTGCTTCTTTTCATCTGTCAAGTCTCACTTTAAATTCTATAACCTCCTGAGAAGGCATCTCTGACCACCCTGTCTACGTAGCCTATAAGCCCCATTATTCTCATTTCCTTCACAATTCTTATCCTGAATAACAATTATACGTTAGTTTGTGTACTTTTTATTGTCTGCCATATGTGTTAGTCTGTACTCAAAATGTCAGGAGCTGTGGCTATTTGATTCACACCTTTTATCACCAGGGCCTAGTACTCTGGTGGTACACACTGGCACCCAAATGCTAAAGGAGTAAACTTTAATCCACTGACCACTTATCCAAATTAGAAATGGAAATCAGCAAGGAATAAAAATAAGAAGCATTGGGTTCTAGGGTTGGTGCTGCCAGGAGATGGCTGGATATGACCTTCAGGAGATCACTAAGGCTTTAGTTTCCTGATTTACAAAACGAGGAATTCAATGAACAATCTCTCACATACATATACCTTTGATTTCCAAGTCGAGACACAGTAAGGAAGGACAAACTAGTGATGACAGACAGGCATGCAGAGAAGCTAAACATCTGTGACCTAAATATCTGAAATAATGGTGTTGCCAGAAGAGCCACATGAAAAGGATCTTACAATTCTACAGTAAAAAAATCTAAGCATGATAATAAACCAAATCTATAAAGGAAAAAAGGGACAAGTGTAAGTACCAAAAAAAGAAGAAAAAAACATTCTCTGGGGGAAAAGACACCATAACATACTTAAAACAAATCAACTGAGTAAATATTTGCAACATACATGACAAAGGGTTACCATTCATGCTATAGATACTACAGAGCAATAAGAAAAAGCCAAGTAATCTATAAACAACACAGGCAAAAGGATCTGGTCTAACAAGTCACAAAATAAAAATAAAAATAGCCATTAACACATGCTCTACCCAATAACTAAGGATGCACACTGAAAATGAGACACTATTTTTCCTTTTGCCTATGATTATGATGAATATTTAAAAGATAGTTAATATAGGCATTGACGACAAATTAGAAAAAGGCCTCAATGAAACCTTATCCATGGTTGTAAAGTAGGTATAACTTTCTGGAGGAATCACACAGTAGCTACCACATGTTAAGCACTACAGCCACATATAAACACTGTCTTTTCCAGCACTGTTAGAGGAGGAGGGAGACGAAGATGGGTAAGAAAAAGAAGGAAAAAAACAAGCCAGTATGAACAACCTAACTTTCTACAGTGAGGGAAACGGACAAATAAAAATGTGGTTCACACTCTTATAATGAAATGCTGTGCCTACACAGGGTGGTCATAAAGTTTGTGTGCAATTTAAAATCATTATGGACACACTATATTAAAAAGACTGAAATTCATATATCAGTACCTCACAGGCAATAAGTCATCAATACATAAGTGTAGGAGCAAGCTGGAGAACCAATTACATAATATGATCTTGTTTTGTTAAGAAAAGAAACAGCCAATCTATAGATACGTGTAGACAGCTTCATGCAGGCATGGAAGATCTGACACCAAATTACGAACATAAAATCCTATGAGGAATGAAAATTAAGAAAGAAAATCAGAGGCTCTATGAGACCAAAGAAAGAATATTAATTAGGGGAAGAACAATGACCATAGCTTGGAGAGGATTTGGAAATATGTGAGTTCCACCCAGGCATAGTAGAGAGCTCTCATTGAACACTAAGCATTCATAAGCGATCACAGAAAGGCTTCACTTTAAAAGTAGAACTTATTTAACCCTAAAGTAAAAGGCTAAACTGTATCTTACAACGCTTAAAAGTAAACTAAAATATTAAGCTGATCCACAAAGAAATTA